GGTTTGGGAAGGTTTGGGGGGAATGTGGGGGATTTTGGGGAAATCTGAGGGATTTTGGGGAGGTTTGAGGGGTTTGGGGGGGGAACGTGGGGGATTTTGGGGGAAATTGAGGGATTTTGGGGATGTTTGAGGGGATTTGTGTGAGATCTGAGGTATTTAGAAGGGTTCTGAGAGGATTTTGGGGGAAATCTGGGGACTTTGGGGGGTAATATGAAGGATTTGGGGGGAGGTTTGAGGGATTTGGGGTGAAATTTAAGGTATTTAGAAGGATTCTGAGAGGATTTGGGGGAAAACCTGAAGGATTTTGGGGAGATTTGAGACGTTTTGGGTGAAAATTGAGGTATTTAGAAGGGTTCTGAGGAGATTTTAGGGGGAATCTGGGGGAATTTGGGGGAGATTTGAGGTGTTTGGGGTTAATCTGAGTGGTTTGGGTTGTTTTTAAGGTTGTCAGATATATATTATGGGGATTCCATGTTTATTTGGAGGGTGGGGTCCCATAATCTGGGGTCATATGCTTAGGTTTTTGGGTAGGAAACACATCTTTTGGGGTTGTGATCCCATATTTTGGGGTCTCCATGTATGTTTTAGGGTGGGAACCCCATATCTTGGGGATCCCCGTATAAATTTTGGGGTTGGAACCTGTTATTTTGAGTTCCCATACAAATGCAGTGGGTCAGAATCCCCCATTTTGGGGTCGGAATTCCCCATTTTAGGGTGGGGATCCCCCATTTTGGGTCGCCCTGTATATTTTGGGGTCAGAATCCCACATTTTGGGTTCAGAATCCCACATTTTGGGTCGCCCTGTGTATTTTCAGGTCAGAGTCCCACATTTTGGGTTTGGAATCCCCCTGTATATTTTGGGGTTGGACCCCCATATTTTGGGGGTCCCCTTATAAATTTTGGGGTCGGAACCTCTTATTTTGAGTTCCCATACAAATGCAGTGGGTCAGAATCCCCCATTCTGGGGTGCCAATCCCCCATTTTGGGATCAGAATCCCACATTTTGGGGTCAGAATCCCACATTTTGGGTTCAGAATCCCACATTTTGGGTCGCCCTGTGTATTTTCGGGTCAGAATCCCACATTTTGGGGTCGGAATCCCCCATTTTGAGTCACCCTGTGTATTTTGGGGACAGAATCCCACATTTTGGGTTCGGAATCCCACATTTTGGGTCGCCCTGTGTATTTTGGGGTCAGAATCCCACATTTTGGGGTCGGAATCCCCCATTTTGAGTCACTCTGTGTATTTTGCGGACAGAATCCCACATGTTGGGTTCAGAATCCCACATTTTGGGTCGCCCTGTGTATTTTGGGGTCAGAATCCCACATTTTGGGTTTGGAATCCCATATTTTGAGTCACCCTATATATTTTGGGTTCAGAATCCCACATTTTGGGTTTGGAATCCCACATTTTAAGTCCCCCTGTATATTTTCAAGTGGAAATCTCATATTCTGGGCTCAGGAACCTCAAATTTGGGGAGGGGGAGGGGGACACGACCCTTTTAATTTCATGCTCACCTGACCTCCTCCCTCCCCACCCCAGACCCGCGACACACCGACCCCTCTCAGCCCCCCCCTCCCCTCCCCACCCACCCTCCCCCTTTCCTCCCCCCTGGTTCTGTTGGAAGCTCCATTCCCACCCCTGGGGGGGTTGGGGGGGGCTCTACAAACCCCTCTACGGATGGGGAGGGTCCCGAATTGGCCCCCGACCCGGCCTTGGAGCGTCGGTTGCTGCTTCATCTCGCCGACGTCGCCCTCACTTTGCCCACCGACGCCGGAGCAATCCGGGGGGCCATCGATACGGTGAGTGGGAGGGGTCTGGGAACAGTGGGAGCCCCCTCAAAACAGTGGGGGTCTCGTAAAGAATTGACAGACCCCCCCCCAAAATGGTGGGGGTTCACTGTAATGTTGGGGGTACCATAAGGAATTGGGGCCAAATTGACCAAAATTTCTCCAAGAAGGACCAGAATTGACCCAAGTTGACCCAAATCTCTCTAAAACAGGCCAAAATTGACCAAAATTGGCCCAGGTTGACCCAGATCTCTCCAAGAAAGGCAAAAATTGACCCAAGTAGACCCAAATTTCTCCAAGAAAGGCCCAAGTAGACCCAAATCTCTCCAAGAAGGATCCAAATTGATCCAAGTTGATCCAAATCTCTCCAATAATGGTCCAAGTTGATCCAAATCTCTCCAAGAAAGACCAAAATTGACCCAAATCATTCCAAGAAAGGCCCAGATTGACCCAGATCTCTACAAGAAGTGCCCAAGTTGACCCAAATCTCTTCAGGAAGAGCCCAAGTTAACCCAAATCTCTCCAAGAAGGACCAAAATTGACCCAAATCTCTCCAAGAAATGCCCAGATTGACCCAAGTAGACACAGATTTCTCCAAGAAAGGCCCAAGTTGATCTAATTCTCCAAGAAGGATCCAAATTGACCCAAGTTGACCCAAATCTCTCCAAGAAAGACCAAAATTGACCCAAAACTCTCTAAGAAGGACCAAAATTGACCCAAATCTCTCCAAGAAGGACCAAAATTGACCTGAATCTCTCAAGAAAGACCAAAATTGACACGAATCTCTCCAAGAAAGACCAAAATTGACACAATTCTCTCTAGAAAGACCAAAATTGACCCAAATCTCTCCAAGAAGGACCAAAATTGACCCAAATCTCTCCAAGAAAGACCAAAATTGTCCCAAATCTCTCCAAGACCGAATTTGACCCAAAACTCTCCAAGAAAGATCAAAATTGTCCCAAATCTCTCCAAGAAAGACCAAAATTGTCTCGAATCTCTCCTAGAAAGAGCAAAATTGTCCCAAATTTCTCCTAGAAAGAGCAAAATTGTCTTTAATCTCTCCAAGAAGGACCAAAATTGACCTGAATCTCTCAAGAAAGACCAAAATTGGCCCGAATCTCTCCAAGAAGGACCAAAATTGACACAATTCTCTCAAGAAAGATCAAAATTGTCCCAAATCTCTCCAAGAAGGACCAAAATTGTCCCAAATCTCTCCAAGACCAAATTTGACCCAAAACTCTCCAAGAAAGACCAAAATTGTCCCAAATCTCTCCAAGACCAAATTTGACCCAAAACTCTCCCAAGAAAGATCAAAATTGTCCCGAATCTTTCCAAAAAAGACCAAAATTGACCGAAACCTCTCCAAGAAAGACCAAAATTGACAGATATCTCTCCAAGAAGGACCCCAGATGACCCCAAAACTTCTCCCCCCTTCCCCCCAGCCTGAGACGCCGGCGACGCAGCGCATGGTGGAAAGCCTCCTCCAGAAGTTCGCTGCTCAGGAGCTGATCGAGGTGCGCCGTGGGCTGCTGGCAGAAGGTCCCACCATCGTCACCTACGCCGACCACTCCAAGTTGGCGGCCATGACAGGTGCTGAACGCGGCGGGGACGGTGACGCCGACGTCACCGGAAGGAAACGTCGAGCAGAACAGGACAATTCCGGCGGGGTCGGCGTCGCCGGGACGGAAACGGGGAAAGAAATGGTGAAAAAATCCCGTAAGCAGGCATCCGACGTGGACCTGGAGATTGAGAGTTTGCTCAGCCAGCAGTCCACCAAGGAGCAGCAGAGCAAAAAAGTGCGTTTTTGGACCCAAAAATGAGGGGGGGGAGGGGGGAGTTGGGAAAGGGATTGGGTTTCGTCAAAAAAAATCGTGAGAGAAGGTGAAATCTGGGGGGAAATCTCTCCAAACAAGGGTTGGGGACAGATAAGATGTTCTCACCCCAAAATGGATCCACACGATGGTGGACCTCCATTGGGATGTTCTTCACCCCAAATAGGATCCACCATAATGGTGGACCTCCGTTGGGATGTTCTTCACCCCAAATAGGATCTACCATCATGGTGGACGTCCATTGGGAATGTTCTTCACTCCAAACAGGATCCACCGTGATGGTGGACCTCCGTTGGGATGTTCTCCACCCCAAATAGGATCTACCATCATGGTGGACGTCCATTAGGAGTTTCTACCAAGAAAAAATGAGGAAAAATCAAAGATTTGGGGAAAGATCTGTTGTTATTAGGGTTGGGGATGAGAAAGAGTTGGGGTTGTTGTAGTTCTACTGAGAAAAAATGGGTAAAATTAAAAGATTTTGGTAAAAGTCTGGTGTTAATAGGGTTGGGGACGTGAAAGCGTTGGGGTAGTCTTGGTTCTACTGAGAATTTGGGTAAAAATTTCAGATTTTGGTAAAAATCTGTTGCTATTAGGGCTGAGGTTGTCATTCTATGAAGAAAAAATGGGGAGAAGTTCGTGGGATTTGGGGGGCTTTTAGGAATTTGGGGGGATTTTTTGGGATTTGGGGGATTTGGGGGAAAAAATGTTGCTAATAGGATTGGGGATGCCAAAGAGTTGGGGTGGTCATGGTTCTACCAAGAAAAAATGAGGAAAAATCAAAGATTTTGGGAAAGATCTGTTGTTATTAGGATTGGGGATGACAAAGAGTTGGGGTTGTTGCAGTTCTACCGAGAAAAAATGGGGCAAGATTTGTTGGATTTGGGGATTTTTTGAGATTTTTGGGGAAAAAAATGTTGTTAATAGGATTGGGGACACCAAAGAGTTGGGGTGGTCGTGGTTTTTCCAATAAAAATTGGGTAAAATCAAAAGATTTTGGTAAAAATCTGGTGTTAATAGGGTTGGGGACGTGAAAGCATTGGGGTAGTCTTGGTTCTCCTGAGACAATTTGGGTAAAAATTTAGGATTTTGGTAAAAATCTGTTGCTATTAGTGCTGGGGATGCCAAAGAGTTGGGATTGTCATTCTATGAAGAAAAAATGGGGAGAAATCCTTGGGATTTTGGGGAATCTTTTGGGATTTTGGGGAAAAAATGTTGGTAATAGGATTGGGGACGCCAAAGAGTTGGGGTGGTCGTGGTTTTTCCAACAAAAATTGGGTAAAATTAAAAGATTTTGGTAAAAATCTGTTGCTATTGGGGCTGGGGATGCCGAAGAGTTGGGATTGTCATTCTATGAAGAAAAAATGGGGAGAAATCCTTGGGATTTTGGGGGATTTTGGGGTAAATGTTGGTAATAGGATTGGGGACGCCGAAGAGTTGGGATTGTCCTGATTCTACCCCCAAAAAAAAAGTAGGAAAGCCCAAAATTTTCACAAAACCGGGTCGCTAACAGAATTGAAGTCTTGAGATGCCACCGAAAAGCCCCAAAACCCATCGGATTCACCCCAAATTTGTTCTCCAGGTGAGCCAGGAGATCCTGGAGCTGCTGAACACCACCACGGCCAAGGAGCAGTCCATCGTGGAGAAGTTCCGCTCGCGGGGCCGGGCTCAGGTGCAGGAATTCTGCGACCACGGCACCAAGGAGGAATGCATCAAAGCTACCGGAGCCGACCGGCCTTGCAGGAAGCTGCACTTCCGGTAGGGAAAGAACCCCAAAATTC